GAAAATGTAAAAAATAAAACTGAATTCAAAATATTAATGAAAACTATAATAGTAGGTTTCAATGATATAAAAATAACTGATGTAAATGGTACAAAGTAATGCTTCGTTCTGTGGGCTTAGTTGCAAAGCTACTTTATCCGCTGTTTCTTGGAACAAAAGAATGAAACATTTATAAATTACTGACTTCATATTATGAGCTATTATGAATTTTTTTGTTACCAAACTAGTGGATCTGACCAATGAGAGTGGCGAATCTGCGACCTCGCCCCGCCCCTTCGCAGCATCAGCAGCCCCGCCCCTGGGCCCTGGCTCAGCTGTGCGGTAAACAGCGGCGGCGAGCGGCTGCGGATTGATGCCGACTGCACCGCGGAGACGGACGGTCAGCATCAAGAGGCGACATGCCTGCTGCTGCTCCTCACCCGTTTGTCCTTAGACCCTCTGACACCCACATCCTCACCACCTCCACCCTGCGGCACTGATGAAGCCTCCTCTGTCGAACCCACACCGGGCCGAAGGGCGGATAGAGGAGAGAGAGGATGTACTGGCGCGTCGGCTTCGCCTGGAGCCGCTCCTGCGCGCTTGAGCTGAGCCAGAACAAGAGCCTCTCGCTCGGCTTGTGCGGCTCTGAGGAGCATCTCTCGTTGTATGGGTACATTATCGCCTACCCGCTGCAGGAGTACGGAGGGATCATGTCTGCGTTAGGATTCGACTCATGGTGGAGGAAAACGCTCTACATCACCGGGGGCGCGTTGCTCACCGCCGCTGCCTATTTACTACATGAGCTGCTTGTCATTAGGTAGCTATTATGGAATCTATCTATCTATCTATCTATCTATCTATCTATCTATCATTGCCATCCATGCAGCGTTTATATATTAGCACTTTATATATAAGCACTGCATAGACAGTAATACTAGTAGTAGTAGTGATGATAATGATAATAATAATTATAATTATTATTACTACTACTATCTATGCAGTGCTTGTGCTTTTATATATATTTAATAATTTATAGAAATATATGATAAAATATATTTATTAAATGTTTTAGATTTAATTTAATGTTTATTTTTAATATATTAATATTTAAATATTTTAGATTTTATTTAATATATTATAAATAATATTTAATAATAATTATACATAACAATAATACTTGTTATTATTATGATTATTATTATTACTATTTATGTCATGCTTATATATGTTAAGAATTCTCCTTTGGGTGGAGTGAGAGGGGCATGAACAGGGTCTTTAAGTAAGAAAAATTACCTAAAATAATATCCTGGACAATCATGTCAACAGAATGCAATGCAGTCCATTCGTTATCCTACACTGGAGAGTGATGAATGAATACCTGCTAAGTGATTGAATTTTGAGCAGGATGTTATTTTTTTTTACCTCGTCTAAAGTCTGAATGTTGACATGTTGATGTGTGCTATATCAAGGGCATGGTTGCAGGAGCGTCTCTATGTGTAGGCCTTAAGGATAATATTTCCTTGTGTTATTGTGATGTGACAGAATGACCTTTATGGACTCCTCATGAGAGCGTGTAAATAGTGACCCGTCAAAATATAGTGATCAGAGCTAGCTGGGTTTAATTCTGTGCTTTTGCTTCGTCTCTGACCTTTGCAGAAATGGCAGTGCTGTTAGTCCTCAGCAAAACATCTCAGGTTACACAAGGCCCTGGGAAAGACTTGGTGTTATTTGACGATCATTCACATGAGCTATTGATTCAGACATGCATTACACAAATATAATTACATATTATTAATTGTTTTAAGATCAGACACATAATCGTAAGTACAAAACTGAAGAGAAAACACTACTGACCATGATGCTTTTAATGTGTTTCAGCACCAGTGAAGTGGACAGCGACTAAATCCTGCTGATAGAAAACACTAAAGACTGAACCCTGAATCGATCTGAAGTGTTCCTAGTATATTTCTGGTGTATTTTGAAACAAAATGGATAATTGTAGGATTTGATGAACTCGGTTTAAAAATTATAAAATGTAAAAAAAAAATAATAAAAAAAAATCCCATAGACATTAAAGGAGGTACCTGATCTGGAAACCAGAATATTATAGCAACCAACCATAAAACACATTAAAAACAACCTAAAAATCTATTTGCCCCCCTACTGTCTTAAGTAATTTAATTTAATAATATACTTTCTTCCAAAGGCAATTAAAAGTATCTAATGGGCCCAAAGCTTTGCACAATAGATGATGCTGTATATGGTCATTTTGAAAAGTTTCTGGTGTGTTTTGAAACAAAATTGCTCATTTTAGAATATGATGAAGTTGGTTTAAAAATGATGAAATGTCAAAAAGATTCCTAGAGACACTGAAGGAGGTAACTAAGCTATATATAGAGACCAAAATATTATAGCAACCAATCTGAAAACACATTAAAAACAGCATAAAAATATTTTTCCCCCTACATAATTCAATTTGATAATATAATTTCTCCCAAAGTAATAATATGATTTCTACCATTAGTATCTAATGGGCACAAAGCTTTTCACAGTAGATGGTGCTGTATCTTGCTCATTTTGGACAGATTCTGGTACATTTTTAAAACAAAATTGATCATTTTATGATGTTTTAGTGTATTTGTGAACTGTTTGATCTCCATTAATTTCGAGTACACTTCCATATTTGCTGCCCTGTAGGAAGGAACAGGAGTTGGACTCTGAAGATGCCATCATTCTGCATCAGTTTGCCCGGCCCAAGACTGGAGTCCCTAGCCTGTCCCCTTTCTGCCTGAAGATAGAAACATACTTGCGGATGGCGGACCTTCCTTACCAGGTATCAAAATATATGATGATGATGTTATGTTGTGAAAAGAGATGGATGTTTTTCAAACGTACAAGCTATTTTCTCCTCAGAACTATTTCGATGGGAAGCTGTCTCCTCAAGGGAAGATGCCATGGATGGCGTATAATAAGGTGCAGGTGTGCGGGACAGAGTTCATCATTGACTTCCTGGAGGAGAAGCTTGGCGTGAACCTCAACTCCAGCCTGAGTCCTCAGGAGAAAGCCATCTCACGTGCCATCACCAAAATGGTGGAGGAACACTTCTACTGGTGAGAATGAGCTGCTTTTTCTTCACATATGGTCTAAATCAACCTGATATTTGAATAAACATCTTCATTATATTGTTGAAAGACTAGATTCACTTTTATAAGTGGATTCCAACTTGAACTAGTTGAAGTTACTGAACGACTAAAATGTGTTGATAATCTAAATGCGATGCGTTTTGCTTTAGGACGATAGCATACTGTCAGTGGGTGGACAATGTGGAAGAGACGCAGAAGATGTTAGCCACAAACGGGCCGCTGAGTGACCTGCTCAGATGGATCTTGAGTCAGGTGACCGGCAGCATCGTGAAGAGAGAGATGCACGGCCACGGGATCGGACGCTTCTCCAAAGAGGAGGTTTACTCTCTGATGGAGAAAGACATGCGCACCCTTGCCACATTCCTTGGTGTGTTTTGAACATCTGAGGCACAGTTGTTTGAGCTTTATTGGCAGGATTTTTAGCATTTTAGTCATTTTTCATATTTAATCTACACTGTGTGCACAATTATTAGGCAAGTGATGATTTTGACCATATCATCATTTTATCCATAATTTCCAAGTCCAAGCTGTATAAACTTGAATGCTTATTGGATTTAATGCATATCAGGTGATGTGTATTTGTGTAACGAGGGAGGGTGTGGCCTAAGGAGATCAACACCCTATATCAAGGTGTGCATAATTATTAGGCAGATTCTTCTCCTCAGGAAAAATGGGCCAAAAAAGAGATTTAACTGACTCTGAAAAGTCAAAAATTGTAAAAAGTCTTTCACAGGGATGCAGCACTCTTGAAATATCTAAGATATTGGGGCGTGATCACAGAACCATCAAACGTTTTGTAGCAAATAGTCAACAGGGTCGCAAGAAACGTGTCGAGAAGAAAAGACGCAAATTAACCGCCAAAGATTTGAGAAGAATCAAACATGAAGCTACCAGGAACCCATTATCCTCCAGTGCTGCCATATTCCACAACTGCAACCTACCTGGAGTGTCAAGAAGTAGGAGGTGTTCAGTTCTCAGAGACATGGTCAAAAATACAACTTGCCTAATAATTGTGCACACAGTGTAGATCCTCAACTCTGGTCCTCGAGATCCACTTTCCTGCAGAGTTTCGCTCCTACCCTAATCAAACACACCTGAACAAGCTCATCCAGGTCTGCAGGATTACTACAAAGTTGCAGGATGGTGTTTAATCCAGGTTGGATCTAATCTCTGCAGGAAAGTGGATCTCGAAGTCCGGAGTTGAGGAACCCTGATCTAGATCATTCTTTTTTTTTGAAACGGGTTACAAAATAATGCAGCAATGGATCTGTGCTGCCCTCTAGTGCTCAGTAAGCCTAAATCCTCCTTTCACACTGGAAAAAAAGATTTTTTTACTTAGTATTTTTTTTTGTCTTATTCTCCAGTACAAATAAGTAAAGATTCCTATATCAAGATACACTTTACTTGAGATGCAAAATTACTTGTTTTCTGAAAAATGTGAGGTTATGCTTAAAACAAGTGGGGTAATAAATATAAACTTAATTCTAAGGCAAAACAAGATTATTTTTCTTACTCCGTTGACAAATATTTTTTTTCTTGTTTTAAGCATAAACTCAGTTTGATACAATTTTATACCACTTTATACATTAATTTTGATAAATTTGTCAGAAAACAAGACGAAGTAATTTTACTTTTCAAATAAATGTCGTGATGAATAATCCTGAAAGAGCATACTCTTACTACAGGTGAATTGCTATGAAAACTTTCCTTCATGGAATAAAAGATAAGGTAATTGCAACTTTTTATCTCACAATTCTGACTTATTTCTCTCAATTCTGGCATTTTTTTCTCGCAATTGTGAGTTTATATCTCACAGTTCTGACTTTTCTTCACAAAATTGTGATGAAATAGATTCATAATTGCTAGAAAAAAAGTCACATTTACATTTTTTTTTATTCCACGGCGGAAAAAAAATTATGAGATGTAAATTTAGAAATCAGAGGGAAAAAGTCACAATTGTGAGACATATTTTCACAATTCTGTGATCAAAAGAGTCAACGTTTCAAGATGTACACTTGCAATTCTGAGGAAAAAAAGCCAGAATTGTAAGATATAAGTTTGCAGTTATGTGAAAAACATTCATAATTGTCAGATAAACAAAATCGCAATTACCTTTATTATTTTTTTAGTCCGTGGTAGAAACAAGCTTCCATAGGTACCTGAGCCATATCTACAGACCAGAACATCATAGCAACAAACCAGAAAACACATAAAAATGATTTTTCTATTGTCTTATATAATTCAATTTAATAATATAATTTATCCCATAGGCAATAAAAAGTATCTAATGGGCCCGAAGCTCTCCACAGTAGATGCTGCTGTATTTGGTCATCTCGCTCAGGCCATGTGGACTCTCCCAGGGACACGTCCGGAGCAGTTAATCAAAGGTGAGGTCATGAACTCATGCTTTTTGTGTATGGGAATACTGTCATATAATGTTTTGAGCGCATTAACTGCTAACTAACTGAAGAGTGTAAAGACCATGGACTCTACCGTGCGACTCCACCGGGCAGGGACACCGGCAAAGGATAAGTATCGCTCTTTATTTCTCCTCTTTCCTATTACTTGTTTCACTTCTGTTTCAGTTTTTATAACCATTTCTTACTATGTGTAAGTAAGTTGT